TGATGGTATAAATTTATCTAGGATAATTAACAAAATTTGTTTAGATGTTCGAAGAACCAGGTCCTCAATTGTCACGACCTGAAATTTCTACCTTCGGGGCCGTGATGACGTCTAACATTTCACTTGCTAGGCAAGCCAACGTTAGAATAATATTAGTCATTCTAGAATAATTTTTTTTTAAATTAATTAATAACAAAGGAACAAATGCGAAAATAAAGTCTGAAATAAAGTGAATAATTCATAATACTAGCGATGTCTGAATATCATCCCAGAATTTGGTGTCACAAGTGCACGAACTTTTAGAATAATACAAACAAGGGTCTGAATAAAATAAAGTTGTCTGAAAGAAAGCACACAACTAAAATAAAGTAGAAGGGGACATCAGAACTGCGAACGCCGTGCAGCTATACTTCAAGTCTCCACTGGTAGCTGAATCTGAGCACAATCTACAGTACGCCGCTAGGACCAACTTCGAAATCTGCACAAGAAGTGCAGAGTGTAGTATGAGTACAACCGACCCCATGTACTCCGTAAGTGCTGAGCCTAACCTCGACGAAGTAGTGACGAGGCTAAGGCAGGTCACTTACATTAACATGTACGCAATAATAGTAATAACAACAATAATAGAAATAAAATAAGTAACTCATTTCAACAGTTGAAGCCAACTCGGCAGTCATAACCAACTATTATTTCAATCAATTTCCGTTGCGGCGTGCAACCCGCTCCAACAATATAATTCTTCAATAAATTTTCGTTGCGGCGTGCAACCCGCTCCAACAATATAAACTTAAAATATAATTTGTTGTGACGTGCAACCCAATGCCCCAATATATTGCTTTTCATTTTCGTCGCGGCGTGCAACCCGCTCCAACCATATAATTTAACAACTCTTAAATATAATAAAAATACTCCAATAAATACCTCATTCAATAAGAAATTATTAGGCAACAATGCACACAATATTTATAAATTATTTAGGAACAAGTAATGACAAATAACAATTAATTATGAAAATCAGGGAGAAAATAGACAATTTAAGTTCTATATGCATAGACATATAATAATAACTTTTATATGCATAGACATAAAATTAAAATAATTAAAATTACTTTAAATGGTGAAGAATTTTATCTCAGCAATTAGATTCGCACGAAGCGCGTAGCATGAAATTAAAATATGCATAGACATAAAATTAAAATAACCAAGTTACTGATGACTTTTATAACTGCACGAAGTGCCGCAAGTTCACTAATTGAATCATAATTGAGAATATTGAGTTGCCTTATAGTTACGATATATGAATCGTGATTGAATAGAGATTTGTTATTGATAAATATAGTTACCTCTTACGTAAAGTTGGTTCTCTCTAGATAAATAGATTTAAAATAGATTTATCTTTTTATTGAAGAAACAAAAATAAGAGCAGAAATTGCATAGCTTGATCGCTGAAATTGGACATGCGATGGAAATTGCATTCTAATCCCTCTATCGATTTTAATTGATTTTAGCTATTTTTACACATATAAAGGATTTCACCTTTTAGCATTAATTAACAACACAATTAATCATATTAACCTTAATTTTTTTATTGGAAGTACAACAAATACTCCTAGGCAGAAGCGGATCCAGGATTTGAAGGTGGTGGGTACCGAAATTTTCTTTAATGTACACCTTATAATAACTAATATAGAGTTTGTTCGGAATGTTGGTAATACATAGGTTACCCTAAGCTATGGACCAAATCTCTATTACACACTTTTTGCGGAAGAAAATTACCTTACACACTCAATCTTTTCATAGTGTCCCTGAGACACACTATTTTTTTCTTGACCAATTTTTTAAAACGTGTAATATCACGCACCAGTCATACAACGACATGTGTCATTGACTTAAAAAAAAAAAAAAAAAAAAAAACCCCACCCAANTTTTTCTTGACCAATTTTTTAAAACGTGTAATATCACGCACCAGTCATACAACGACATGTGTCATTGACTTAAAAAAAAAAAAAAAAAAACAAACCCCACCCAAGTTTTTTTTTTTTTAAAAAAAAGCAATAATGAAAAGGAACCCATTTCCTTCGGGCTTCATCGTGCCTTCGTTAGCGCTTTTGAGCTCGTATCTCTTCCTTCATCAGCATTTCTCTTTCATCCTTTATCCATTAACATACACATATTCAAGAAAAATCCATAGATAAACGAAAAACATAACCCAGTTTTCACCGTCCCACCATCATTACTCACCTTCCACGGCCTTCTCGTTATCTCCATTTTCGCCGACCACCAAAAAAACCCATACCTCCATCTTACAATTCAAACAAAAAAAATAGAAGCCCTAATCAATTGCTCCTACCTTCTTATGTATTTTGTTTTTCAGAAAATTTTCAAGATATAATAAGTGGGTTTTCTCCATGGCTGCCCATTGAAAAGGAAATAAAGAAGAGAAGATTCTTCTACATTGTTCTTCCAATCTCGCTTGAAGATTTCATAACAAATTCTTCTACACTGTTAAAAATTTCTTCCTGAATCAATTTTTCAAATATTTTTCCTCAATCTGTTACAATTTTAACAGATTTCTTAATTGAAAGTGGATAAAATGGATAGTGAAAATCTGTATTATCTCCAATTTGAACCAAATTACTTTAGAAAAATAAAAAAAAAGGAAGATATTGGAAAAGGACAAAAATAAAATCTATTTAACCGTCGGATAAGTTTTATTAAATCTGGACCCTTCAAATAAAGCATCAGATATACAGTTTTTACAGTCCAGACGCCTTATTTTGTTTGTAAAACACGCACCTGCCATATAGACAAAGAGGTGTGTCTTAGGCACAATCTGAAAAGGTTGAGTGTGTAAAGTAATTTTTATCCGCAAAAAGTGTCTAACAGATATTTGGCCCATAGTTTCGGGGGTAACTTATGTATTTTGCCTTTTTTTTAAAGTTTATTCGGGCAATTTAATAGGTATTTTTATTTGCAAATATGAAAATTACATCTCTTTCTCAAACCCTACTTGTAGGATTTTACTAGGTATGTTGGTGTATGAAAATTATATCTGAGACATTAATTGACATTTTAAAGAAGGAGTCACACCTTTATTATTAACATTATAAGTAAAAATAATATTTTCACTAGGGAACTACATCTTTTTTTTATGCTAAAAATAAATTTGCGCTCATAAAATAACATCTTCAATAAAGGAATTCCGCCAATCAGAATAAGAAAAATAAAATCTTCAGTAGATAAATTATACCCTATAAGTAAATGCAGAATTAGATAAATTTTAAGATACCAAATATTTAAATCATAAATCTCATATTTTTCTAGGCAATGCTTGCAAAATATTTATCATATTTTAATTGTAAAGAGATTTAAATTGTACTTAACAATCATAGAATAATTGAATTATTTACAAGTGGTATTCAAGCTCTTATTTTTGCAACTTTAGCCGCGGCTTATATAGGTGAATCCATGGAGGACCATCATTGAAATAGTCTTATTTAGCTTAGCCCAAAGCAATGTATAAATATGATGGGTGGCTCAAGAGAATTACTCAACTTAGGGAATAGAATAGGGGAATCTAAATGTTAAAATAAAAAATAAATTATAAAAATTAAAATAGATCTCAATCCAAAATTCCTATCAAGACACAAATTTTTATTTTGAAAGAACAAAATTAAAAGATTTGAGATTAAGAGAAATGTTTTTTTTATAGTAAATTTTGGAGGCTATTTTTTGAGTGCTCTCGGTAAAGATCACAGGTAAAATAATAGATTAGATGAAAAAAATATTAAAATTAATAAACGACAAATAGAAAGCTAGGGGGTAGCCAAAAAGAAAAATGATTGGGATAAAGAAAATAAAAAGCACAACAAAAGGGAAAGTGAGACAAGGTTCAAGATAAATTCGAATTTGAATTTTACACACGAGAAAAACTTTCGAAAAGGTCTACTAGTCATGACATCTTTGTCTAGTTTGCGACTAGGGGTGAAAGGATCAAATATTTAATCTAGTTTAAGAAAATTTTTACATAAATATATGATAATTTTACCAACCTATTGGGTGTCATACCACCCCCGCCCTAAAGGGCGGATCCACCCTGCTCCTATGCTCTTTACTCCGAGGATAACTCTGAGAGAAAAAAGTTAATTCTTACTTTATATATGAAAAACTAAAATATTAGGGACCACAGAAAAAGACTAAAAATCAATTAAAGTGGAACGTAGAGAGTAGAAAATAACGTAGTTCCTTTAGAAGCGGAATAGCACATTGGAGTTTGCCTAAATCCGGTGTTATTAAACTAAATAAAATATTAAAATAATTTAATTACCATAAGATAATTTTCTTCATATCCATCTCCCAATAAAATATAGTCCTTAAATTTGTAGACCATAAAGTTATTTTAGTATTATTAGATCTCATTTAAAAGATAATATGTGTTCGTAAAAAGTAAAATTTACTGTTAGAAAATTTATGAAAGAGCAGTAGAAAGCTTGAATCGTGTGAACATGCCGTCCTTGGTTATTTCTCCCCCATAAAGTATAGTTTAATAAGACGCATCCGCGGGAACATTCAACGAGCTCTTTCAAGTGATTATTGGGAGCAGAAACAACAAATTTCAAGAATGAAAACCCAATTTTAGAATGTCACATTGATTTCTTATGCAAAATATATACTCCGTAGTCTCGTGTTATGGTTACTAAAAATAATTATCTCAAATTATTTATCTTTTATATTCTTAATAAGGGTAGAATAGTCCAATCCACTAATTAATATTTTTTAAGAGACGCGTAAAAGAAAAATACGACACATGATATGAGACGGAGGAAGTAAATTACTTTTGTATTTTCAGTTTTGTGTTCCTTGTCTTTTATAGTTATTCTTTTTCACTTGCCTGTAGTTAATTCTATTATTAATGGTACGATAAAGTTAGGCAGGTTCTCACATGCTTATTTAGTGTTTAATTCAAAGCGTTGTCCTATCAGTTTGGCGACCTAATTTTATGTAGGGACCTTTAGATTCTCTTATTACAGCAGGGGAAAGAACAGAACATTGCTAAGTTTACAAGTTTATTTACAGTCCGCAACTATTGTCATACACTTAGAACCCATCGCAACTTAAACGAAAGCACCATACAGTTCCCCCTGTTTCAATGGCAGAAAAAAATCAGTTTCAGCATCCAAATCTCAGGCAGAGTCCGTGTGAGTTCGAGTCACCCAAGAGCAAGGTGGAGAGTTCTTGAAGGGAGGGAGCCGAGGGTCTATCGGAAACAATCTCTCTACCCCAAGGTATGGGTAAGGTCTGCGTATATATTATCCTCCTCATACCCCACTAATGAGATCATACTGGGTTGTTGTTGTTGTAGTCTGTCTTGCCATAGAATCCGACGTGCCATATCTTCACAAATCATTATTTGTTTGTTTTTTCACCCAGATCTTTGGTATTTATTTTGATGTTCGACTAATTCGAATTCATACAGTAAAATCTCATTTTGAAAGTAAAACAATCTTTATCAAAAATATTTTCATACCAAGAGCGAATTTGAGATCAGATGAGACTTCAAGAATGAGTGTGGTTACTAAGGGAAGCGCTCCTCGCTAAAAGTGATTCCTCCTTTTTACTAAGTGACCGCACTCATTCTTGAGTCTCACCTTATCCTTTTCCTCCACCGTATAATAAAAATTCCACTTTTGACTCAATAATATTGACTCACAAATAATAGACTTAGACCTAGAGATGTTCAGAACCAACCTAGAGATGTTCAGAACCAATGAAGATAGTAATTACGTCTTTGTAGCTATGTTCTATTTTTCTCCAGCCATTCAAGTTACTGTCCGAAATCTCACTTAGTCATGATAGCACTTAACTCTTACATGCTAGGTAAGTCAAACAATGATCACTAAAATTAAAATGTAAGATCATCACTATCAATAAATAATAAGGTAAAATTTACACAATTACCCCACGAATTGATAGTACAAGTCATGAGCCACAAAAATTTAAATTTACAAAGCTGGTACAAAGAATAAATACAATATCTATTTGAATATACATAAACAAAATACAAATCCTAAACTACCAAGGAGAAGTGGTAGCCTATATCTGGAATGCAGGTACATCTTTAATGCTAGACTTCGTCATCCACAACAGCTCAGTTCCAAGATTTGCACGCAAGGTACAGAAGTGTAGTATGAGTACAACCGACCACTTGTACTTAGTAAGTATCTTGACTAGTCTTGGTAAAGTAGTGGCGAGGCTTTTAAGTCAAAAAATTACTCACTTTGCATAACTTATGCAGTTCAATAACATGTATAATACATAGAAATATCCAAAAAGACTTTCATAGAATAGCGGATATCAATAACAAAGGTGCACAACTAAGGTAAAGGTATTAAATAAGTTTTGCCGATTAAATAGATCCAACAAACACAACTTGCACCAACCCCGCCGACAAAGAGACATGCACCAAGTAGTGTATGCTCAAATGCTCGCAGGGATATGGGTACTCGAGATCTACTCCTTGACTCGGGTTTTGATATGGCTGGCCTGGGGTTGACTTTTTGGGAATTGGGTAAAGATTTCAACTTTATTAATTGAAATTGATTTTTTTTATATTGTTTGATATTATTGAGTCATTTTTGCTAGATTTGGACCGGACGAATGTGAATTGTAAGGGAAAAGTATTTTAGAGTATTGACTTGGCCTAATTAAGATATATGCACATTTGTACTATGTTAAACGACGTGTACACGAGGTGACGAGTGTGGACACAAGTGTATGTATGATTTATGACTGGATTAGATCGTAAACTATTAATATGCCTTGAATTGGAGTTGTTTGCTATATGAAACATGCTTTATTGTTGAACCCTCCCTACACTCTTATGTTAGTGGCACACGTGGACATGATGTGTGGTTTAATTGATGTTGTGTGTAGTATAAGGGGGGCAAGATGCATATGCAGCGACATAAGGGAGGCATTGCATTATGATGTGCATGCGGCGACATAAGGGAGGCATTGCATTATGATGTGTATGCGGTGAAATAAGGGTGGCTTATACGTGTGCGACGACATAAGGGGAGATATTTCATTGTGATGCGCACGCTGCAACATAAGGTGACTTTGTTGATGGTGTTCTGTGTTATTTCAAGGTGTTCCGTTGATGTTATTCATGAGTTGGAATGGGGTTGTTGTTTTAATCACATATTTGTCTCTTAAATGTACCACTTTGTGTTTTACGAGTTGTTGGTTGATTTGACATGCTATCACATGCCCTACTCTTATTTGATATTTCATTGGCAAAGATGGATTATTCTACATTGATATACTGTTACACGCTTTACGAGGTTGTTGGGATCTGTTCCGTTATGCACTTTATTGTCAATTTTCTTTTGATATCTTGCATATATTATTTTACTAGTGAGTGTCATGACTTGAACCTTGTCAAAACTCCACCGAGGTTAGTCTTGATAATTATCGGGTACCAGCTGTGGTGTACTCATACTATATTTTTGCATATTTTTTGTGCAGATCCAGGTAATTCGGATCGAGCTGATCGTTAGGTGGTATTCTAGAGCTTGCTGAAGACTTCAAGGTATTCATATTGTTCCATTCACAAGCCTCAAAGTCACCCTCTTAATTCATTTTCTATTGTTTATGTATCCCAAAAAGTGTTGTACTCTTAAGAACTAGGTATCATTTTCTATAGTCTGGCTCATTTTCTTGAGATACAAGCCTATCACTTCAGGTTGACCGCGCTATAAGCTTGGCTTCGCTAGGTCTATAGCCCGGTAATTAAAAGTCGTGGGCTAAAAGTCTCCCACCTAGATTTGGACTCAAGAACTTCAACCCTAGCCTATAAATTATCACGACCCCAATTTCATCATAGGCCGTGAGGGCGCCCAACACCGTTGTTAGGCAAGCCAACACTGATAAATCTAGTGGTTTCCACTTTTAATATGTTTGCAAAGTAATAATTTTCCTCATTTATAAAAGATTTAGAAATTTATTGCTGTAAAGTAATTAAACAAAAGCAATTGAGTGCAAATCGAAGTCATAATAATAAATCCAAAATCATAAGTCTACTAGTGTGTGCCAAGACCTGGTGTCACAAGTATGTGGGCTACTAGCAGAATATACAAAAGAATACTAGTCTATTGTCTCAAGGAAATAAACAGAAATATAAATCCTAAAGAGAGACTCTGGCTGCTGCTGAACGGCTCGAAAGGGCAGCTCACCGTATAGTCTCGAGCTAGAAGTCAAACGTGTGCGCCGGACTAGTAACCAGATGCACCTGCCTAAGATCCTGTACATCAAGTGCAGAAGTGTAGCGTGAGTACATAAACAACGTGTACCAAGTATCTAGCCTAACCTCGAAAAAGTAGTGACGAGAGGTCGACTTCAATACTTACTAAGGGCCAAAAATATAATAATGTATAAAGCAGGTAATATACAATAATAATAGCGCTCAAAACAAGAAGATAGTAAGTAAATTCTTCTTTCAAGTAAAAATCAAACCATATCTCTCTTCTATTCCTTTCACCTATCAAGTCCATGAAATATTATTAAATATAAGAATGGATTTCGGTATTACTACGCACGAGTTATGCCGAGAACGTACGACCCGATTCAAATATAGATAATAATATACTCTGTACTGTCGAGGGTCGAACGGCCCGAATCATATAATATATCAATAAATCCTGCCGAGGCGAATGGCCCGCTCCCATGAGAGTAGTGGAAGTTTACCCCGCTCGCAGGATATATTTGCGAAACTGTTGAACATATAATTTCTCAACTCATCATGGTATTTCTCAATTCTTTTCTTAAAATAAGGAATTCAACTTCCACTTTAATCCAACAACTAGTAAGCATAAACAAGCAACGGTATCAACAAAGTATGGTGTAAGCCTAAATCTACTCGGACATAAGCATGAATAGCAGCTACGCACGGACTCTCGTCACATCGTGCGTACGTAGTCCCCCACAAATAGAAGTACATATTTATTAAGTTCACCTATGGGGTTAAATTCCCTCTTACAAGGTTAGGAAAGAGACTTACCTCGTCTCAAAGCTTACTTCCCAATTCAAGAATGCGCTCAAGCCTCCAAATTTGATGCCAAACGACTCGAAACTAGCCAAACATTATATAAATCGATCAATCTATGCTCAAAAGTTCATATCTCCACTATTAAAGTGATTACCCAACCCCAAATTGTAAGAATTCCTAAAATTCACTCTCGGGCCTACACGCCCGGATTCCGGAAATATTTGAAGAAAGTTGTTACCCATAACCTTAGAAACATAAATATATAATTTTTACTATGTTTCATAATCATTTTCGTGGTAAAATCTCATTTTTATTAAACCCTAGGTTTTTCATCTAAACCCATAATTTCTACCAATTTTTACATGTATCTACCCATAATCTATGTATTTAACTCATGTTGTATAGAAATTACTTACCTCAAAGTGCTAGGTGAAAACTCCCTTCCAAAAGCTCCAAAATCGCCCAAGAGATGAAGTGAAATGAAATAAATGGCCTAAGTCCCGCATTACATGAGCTGGGCACAAGCCTATGATGTCGCATTTGTGACACCAGGTTCGCAAATGCGACAAAACTCTCGAAATGCGAAGCCTAGCTCCAGCTGTCAAGATTGCAAATGCGATGGATGGGTCACAAATGCGATCACTGTTGAGTTCGCAAATGTGGCTCAGGTGTCGCAAATGCGAAAAATCCCCAGGCTGAGCTTCTTCGCAATTGCGAAGCTCTTCTCACAAATGCGAAGTCCGCATTTGCGAACTATTTCTCGCATTTGCGAGACCTGCAACTGGTGCCAAGAAACACCAGAAATCTGGTGTATTTTTCATCCCTTCCGCACGTCCGAAACTCACTCGAACCCTCGGGGCTCCACACTAAACATCCACACTTGTCTAACAACATCGTACAAACTTGCTCACATAATCAAAACACTGAAATAACATCAAAAATCATGAATCGGATGCCAAAACGCATGAATTAACTCATGAACTCAAAATTTCTAAAAAGACTTTCGCTCGTCCGATTTCTATCAAATCAACTCGGAATGACACCAAATTTTGTGTGCAAGTCTTAAATGACATTACAGAACTATTCACGATCTTGGAATTCCATTTGGACCGCGATATTATCAAAACCCGTTCAACCAAATTTTAAAGAGCTTCAAGAACCAACTTTTGATACTAAGCGCCGAAACACTCCCGGGTCATCCAAAACCTGAACCGAGCATACACCCATGTCCGAAATCATCATACGATCCTATTGGAACCACCAAATCCCTATTTTGAGGTCGTTTACTCAAAATATTGACCGAAGTCAAACTTGACCTTTTAAACCAACGTTAAGGAACCAAGTGTTCCGATTTCAACTTGAATCCTTCCAAATCCCGAACTAAACATCCCTGCATGTCATAAAACAGTAAAAGCATGTATGGGAAGTATTTTTTAGGGGAACGGGGTTTAGAAAGCAAAATGATCGGTCGGATCGTTACATAAATACTCCCTAAACATGTCTAAGACAAGAGGATGACATTTTTTAGAGAAGATTCGACCAAAAGGGAGATGTTTTTGGAGAGGCAAGAACACGCTAGTAGCAAGGCGGAGAGTTCTTCTATGAGTTGTTCACTTACTTCTTCCTATTTTCATTATTGGTTATGAATTTTAGTATTATAGTTTTGCATACTATTATGAATAGCTAATTTTTTATCTAGGGTTTTGATGAAACCTTTTGTAGGATGGATTATTATTACGTTTTTATATAATTGAGCCGTTGAATTTCTCTACTTGTTCAACTACGTAGTTATTGTTGTTGATTGAATGGTCATCAATTGACTGTTCCTATTTAGTATGTATTACTTGGAAAAGGGTACATATTTAGGTACACTCCTAACGTATGTAAGGAATCAATATGGAGGGTTTAAAGGTGAGATTAGAAATAACGAAACCTTGGTGCGATCTTAGTGAGCGGTGAATTAGTGCCAGCTAGTGTGTTCGGAAGAATATGTCTAGTAAATTATGGTAGTTGCTCAGAAGAGAATTACGACACCCGAAGTACTCACGATTGGTAGAGAATACTTAGGCGAAATTATAGAAAACGTAGCGTGAAGGATTCCGACAATTTGAGAAATCATAACTCTAGACCTCCTTAGGCTTGTCTCCAATTTCATCCTTGTTAGTTGATAATTTTACTGCTTTATAATATTTGTTAGTTAATTAGTAGAAATAAAAATCAAATCTTTATAACTAGGAAATTATTTGAACTTGAGTTTTTTTGCGATATTGAACTACTGTAGTTAAGCCTTAGTTCTCTGTGGGATTCGGCTTCGGGCTCTTAGACCGAATTATATTTGCAGCGATCGCTTATCCTTTTTAGGACTAGAGTTGGGCGTGATCAAATTTTGGCGCCGTTGCCATGGAACTAACGGTGTAGCTATAGCTATAAATATTGTTATTTTTTTTAATTTTTTTTTCATATGCCAACTTAAGATGTTTATAGCCAACAAAATCCTCAATACAACGACTAAAAGCAGGTCAGAAACAGAACATAAACCAAAATAAATCTAACAAAATCAATTTCATTAAAGAGTATTTTAAACACCTCACAGCCTAAAAGACAAGCTTGTGGGGTTTCATGCCCGACTTGAGGGAGAACCTAGCAGACAAATAAGCCTTCAATTCAGGAACACATTCAACGGCCTTGATCAATGCTTCATCCACAGCTTTCTGGTCATCCTTCTTTTCCTATGGAAGCATATTCTTCTCCTCTTTCTTATCTTCAAAGAACTATCTTTCACCCTTCTTCTGTTTCTTCTCAGCTTGCTTAGCAAAATACTTATCGTCAATCTTCTCAACATTCACACCAGAAACATCCACTTTAGTTGAAGTACCAATTACATAAGCTTGATTCACACGCCTCAAAGGAACCCCATTAAGCTTAAACGGTCCACTAACAAGTAAAAGCCCAGATTTAAGCTGCTTCAAAAACACAACTCTCTTACCCTTAAACCGGCAAGGATAATTAAAACAGTACCGGGTTTAATACTTGCTCTGAGTTTCGTAGGTTTTGGTTTGTGTTTGTAGACAAGGGGTTTTGCCACGTCATCGGCTGGGTAAAATTTGGGTGGTTTGACGGCCGATGGTGCGGCGGCTTTTTTTGTGGACGGGAAAAGAGCCGCCATTTTTCTTCTTGATTGCCCATAGACCCTTTTTGTGGTACATCTTGGAACGGGAAAGTTTTCCCAGGCCACGAATCAGCTTTGGATTGCGGGGACTCTTTTTTGTGGCCATTGCTGAAAGTTTTAAGTTCTCTCCTTAACAGTTTGCTGATTCACTGTACATATTGTTAGGTTTCAAGTTTAAACTTTTTTTTTTTAGACATCTTGGAATTATGAGAGTTTTGATGTTGGTAATTCTACTTTTGATCCTCTTTATCCTTATTATGGAGGAAATCACCCATCGCAAAATTATCAAAATATTCCTGAGAGCGAGTTATGTGCACCAACTCAATCTTATGTGAGGAATGTGTGTGATCTGTGTGGCGGTCAAGATGGTCATTTT